ATTTGAGGGTTTGGGGAAATTGAAAGCTTAATGTGAGTCAACAGTGTGACATGGGAGCCCAAAAAGCCAATGATATTTTAAGCTCCTAGTTAGGACAAGAGAGCCCATAGTTGATCAGTGCTCTAGTTAGACCCCATGGCTAGCACTAGGGTTATCTCTAGGTGTCACGTTTTAGGAAGGATGTTGATAAGCTGGGGTGCATCCAAAAGAGGGTGACCAGGATGGTGAAGAACCTTGAGATCATGCCATATGAATATTGGTTGTAGGAATTCACGATGTTTATAGCCTGGAGAAGAGAAGATTGTAGGGGCAGTGAGGGTGGCAGAGATTATGGATGGTCTCAGTGTCATCTGGGATTTCGAGTATCTGAAGGATTGTCTTGTGGAAGAGGGATCAGAACTAGGAGCCACGGATGGGAGTTGCCTTGAAGCTTGGCCTAGGACAATCTTCCTATCAGTTAATGCTTTGCCAGTGTGCAGTGAGCTGTGGCATTGAGTCCTTCCTGCCCCTGGTGCACCTCGTGGAGGGCTTTGAGCAAAGGCCGGACCCTGGGTTTGGCACCTTGTAGAAGGGACTCATTCTCTTTCAGGTACAAGTTGGGCCGGGTGCCTTTTGCCCTCCCTCTCAACTGTGAGATCCAGTTGTGATTCCAAGAGTCTTTAGAGAAATGTCATCAGAAGTATGGGATGTTTTTATGAATTATTCCAAATTGTTTGGAAAAAAGATAGAGTATTTGTTTATCATTTGAAGTGTCCTGGAGATCAGCCCATCTCAGCACTAGGAAGCTTTGTCGGCAGTTGGCAGTGCTCCTCGAGGCCTGATGGTGGAGGAGCTGACAACTCCAGTTCTCTAAGTGATTGAACGTTATCTGAGAAATCAGGCAGTATGCTTTCTGGGGTCTTCCCCCTCTTGTGCCCTAGTCCATACAGTCTCCTGAGAGTTGTTTTCTGATGAGTAGCCTGTTTGTCCATTTTATTATTTTCCATATCTTAAATATACAAAGGAAAATTTGGCATGTGCGATAAATCAGTGAATTCTCCTAGTTTTTGAAAATATCTATACCAAAGTACATAAAAGTCTTTGTATCAGTTTTGTTATTCACCAGTGTTTCAAATCTAAATTCCATTGTAGTATAGGCAGTATGAGTAATCCTCACAAAAGGAAATAAAGATTGACTCGATAAATAAGAATGCTTGTGTTTTTCTTTAGAAAGTTCTAAGTTTCTTTTATTTTTGTAGAATTTAACATATAATAAGGTCTTAGGGTAGTGGCATTTTCATTAGACCCATCTGGATGCTTCCCACAGAGGAGCCCAGATCTTTTGAGTGAAGAGTGTTCTGAAGAATGCATTTACTGATAGATCTGCAGCTGACATTACCGTTATTTCCTTTCATAGAACTATAGTGCTATAACATGTTTTTGTTCTTGTGCAGCGAAATATTCCCTTGTAGCTCAAATTCAAATCTAAGAAAGATCAGAGTTAATAGAAAACAAAATGGAAGGTGCTGAAGGTATCTGGAGAAAATAGATAGAGGCATTACTTTGTAGCTTCTCTCTTCGGCCAGAATTGCAGAACCATAGAAGTCAGGAAGCCATGCTGGGTGCTTTGTACCCCTTTGCCTGGTTATATTGTTTTTCATCTGAGAACCTTTTTAAAGTTTTCCTTCCGCCTCTGTATTTTTAAGGAATAAAAACCTAATGTAAGGACATGGAAGGTTATGAAGCATGAAGTTCTATAAATATTTATGCCAAACCACTAAAGTCGACAGTTCCTATTTTCTTGACATATTGGGGTCGTTCATCACTTTTGACCCTTAGAATTGAAAAGTACATGGTGTTGTACCTTTTTGAGAATGGATTTTAGTTATCAGGAGCTGCCTTGTTAGGGTCCTAGGAGTTTCAGTAGCCTTGATTTCACATTGCAGTTATTAATAGGGGCTTTAGAGTTTAGGCAGTGTTATCAAAAGTAAGGGCCGTGGGCTTGCATGGTTGTTCTTACTCACTTCAGGCCACATCACCGTGAGCTAGTTAAGCTCACTGCATAATCTTTCTTCTTGCTGTGCTTTGTCATTGTTATACGTGTGGCTCTTCTGAGTATGGCTGCTGAAAATCACTGTTTTGAATCTGGTCTTTCGCACACATTCCCGTCCTCTTGTGTTCCAGCTCAAGTAAGATGTGCTGTTCTTGAGTGGCTGCTACCACTTTTTAAACACTGGTTGATTGTATCCATTTGAAGAATTTTGGATGACTACTTAAATAGTTTTTGTAGGTGCTATTTTGTATACAAAATGTATTTTGTAGGTAGTTAGGCTTTTCTCTTTTTCTTCTCCAAGATAAAAGGAGCCATTTTATTGCAGACTTTTGCCAGTTGATCGCTAAGGTTTGTTACATATATGCGTGCAGCTAGTGGATAGAGGGTTGGGTCCAGAGTCAGGAAGACCTGAGCTCAAATCCAGCCTCAGACACTTCCTAGCTGTGTGACCCTGGGCAAGTCACTTAACCCTGTTTGCCTCAGTTTCTTCATCTGTAAAATGAAGTGGAAAAGGAAATGGCAAACCATTCCAGTGTCCTTGCCAAGAAAACCCCAGATGAAATCAAGAAGAGTGAACGAGAAGATATATAAAATAATCAGACAGCTGCCTGCGGCCGTGAGCAGTCAAATGCGAAATGATACCTTGAAGCCTGTTGAGTAGTGTTGGAATTAGGATTTAGGAGGGAGAACAGAATATGGATTGAGTTTGCTTTTTAAAATTTAATTTAATTTAATTTTTTTGTGGAGGTGCTATGCTAAAGCCATCTCCGTACTATTTTAATTTAGTAATAACTGATTAAACTTGTATTAAGTGCTTACTATGTTATCAGGTAGTATGATAAGTGTTACACGTTCAAAGAGAAAGTAAAAATCCTGTGCTCAAGGATATTTTAATGGAGGAGCTAACATGTATATAAAAGGGTACTTGCAAGATAAATGGAAATAAATGGAAGGTCATCTTTAGGAGAAGGCCTTAGCAACTGGGAGAACGGGGAAGAGTCTCCTGAAGATCATTGCAGGCATGGAAAAGTGTGTGGTGTTGCTGGGGTATGAGGGTCCAGATATTTTCTTTGAATTTATCATAAGTACTTTTGTTTACCTATATTGTAAAACTGTATAAAGACAAATTAGGTAAGAGAAAGTATTTTAAGTCATACGAAGGTGTTTTGTTCGGATTTTTTTTTTAATCTGGTGGACAACAAATATTATGATTCATTGACTATTAAGTACATACTGGATCCCAGAGAGCAGAATTAGGAGCAATTGATAGAATTGAAAGGAGGATAGATTTCAGGCTGACTGTCAGGATAGACTTCCTAATGATTTCAACTATCTAAAATTGGAGGGACCCCCTTGGGGAGGGGTGTGCCCTTTCATATCACTGGAGGTGTTGAAGCAGTGGCTGAATGCGCATTTATCTGACATATTGTGTGGGGACGTCCTGTTGGGGTGCAGGGTGGACCAGAGGCAGCCTCTTAGGTCCCTTTTAGCTCTGAAATGCCCTTGCCCCATTAGGCTGATTCTCACCTGGGGAATCCTCATTTCCATGGGTCTTTATCTGCCTTTATTACTTCTTGGGCCCATAGACATGCAGTTGCCTCTCCTTAAGGGCCCCGGGGGAAGAGGATAACCTCTTTAATTATTTGGTGAAGATTGTATCTTTTACTTGGGCAGCCCAGAAAAGACTATAAGGCTGTAGGAGATTTCCTCCAGACTCAAGCTGAATTTTTGGTCCCAAACTCTTAGAACACCTAGGCTTTTGGTGGGTATGTTTTCTGAACCAAAAAGTGAGACACGAGGATGTTATTTCTTTTTGTAAATCCTCATTAATAGAGCTTTCTCTCCTTTTCTCTCTCCCTCCCTCCCTCTCTCTTTCCCCCTTCCCCCGTTTCTCTTCCTCCCTCCCTCCGCCTCTTCTTCTCTTCTTCCCTCCCTTTCTCTCTCTTTCCCCTCTTCTCTTTCTGTCATTAGGTCATAATATTAAGAGAATAAAATATCTGAAAGGTATTCATTTTTAAGCAGTCCCTAATCTGTATGCTTTTGCTATCTTCAGAAGTTTGTTTTTGTCAAGTTTCTCAGTCCTTTGAAGATGTGTGAATAATTGCTAACATTTGAGAATGCAACATTTTTCATTTCCAATATGAAACTTTCATTTTATAGAGCTTGTGTCCATGTTTCCTAATATAGATTGCTGTGTTCTAACTCCTAAAAAAAAAGTACCTTTGTGATCTTCAGAGTCCAGTATTATAGATTTAGCTTTTGTTTTATTCATGGGTATAGAGAATGGAACTGTGATTCCACTGGTATGGGGGATTACTGGGTAAGGAAACTCTTTCACCCAATACATGCCTGCCCTTACTCCAGAACTTTGGTTTTAGACAGTTGCCTAGAGCAGAGATGTCAAACTGGCACTTTGTGGCTGCCAGACCCCCAGGTACAGCTGATTAAAATGCAGTTGGGAAATACTTAACAAAATCAATAAAAATATGGCACAACATAGATGATGTTCATTTGTGGTTTTCTAAGTCAGTGCCATAAATCAGCATTTGAGTTTAACCCTACTGGTCTAAAGGAGTGAGAGGTGAAATTCCTTGCCCACGGTCGCCGTCAGTATATGTCAGAAGTGGGACTGGAACCTGGCCTTTCCTTACTCAGAGAAAAACTCTTCTTCTACTGTGATATGTGAAGTACTCAGTAAATGCTTGTTGAACAAATGAATTTTTATTGGAATGTTATCTTTTTGTTATGGATGACCTCATTTTTTGTGGTTAATACAACTTTTTTTTTTTTGGCTATTGGGGTTAAGTGACTTGCCCAGGGTCACACAGCTAGTAAGTGTCAAGTGTTTGGTCTGAGGCCGAATTTGAACTCAGGTCCTCCTGATTTCAGCGCCGGTGCTCTATCCACTGCGCCACCTAGCTGCCCCCCTTAATACAACTTTCTTAAGATAAAATGCGTTCTTTTTTAGGTGGCCTGTTTCATCCGTGTTCCTTCAGAAGTTGTGAAACAGAGGGCACAGGTGTCTGCTGCTTCTGGGACATTTCACATTTTTTCCAACATCCTGTATCAAGAGGTAAGATCAGCTTTTGGACTATGATCTTCTCTAAACGCAGTGTAAATAGTTAGCTGGCAGGTTGGTGAATCTTAGTGACACATGAGTTCCCAGCAGATCTTTCCTCCATACATTTAGTAGTTTTCACCATCATGAAATATTCAACCTCCTAGTTAGCGGCTGTATTTGACCATCTGGGAAAGGGTGAGACCACAGTAGAATCGGCATCAGTACTCACACTGGGAAGTTGTTTAGGCATCATACCTCTATTACCAGTTAGTGCCCAGCCTTAAACTTATTTCAGAATTATCAGCGACTTTTGTTTTTACCCTACAATCAGTTCCCGATGTGTGGCCACCCTCACCACTGAATTTCCTCCTTTTAATAAAGAAAATTGTTAAGCAGAATCAACTGGCAAGATGGCCCTGTCTGATAATGTATGCAGGATTCCATTCCTGTACTACCCCACCTGTCTGATGAGGAGAGGAGTGCTTCCTTATTACAAATCACTCTTACTAATAATGAGGCTAGGGGATATTTAGTAGCTGAAATTACGGCTAAGAGCACCTGGAATTGGCAGCGTTTTTGCATGTTTAGCAAGTAATAACAGTATCATCACACTGGGATGGTCCTCTGTGCAGTTTTTCTGGAAATCTGCACGAACAACTCTTAAAAGACAATTGAAGTAGAAGTTTCTAGGAGTCCCAGAAACGATATTTTTTAATTGAACTGCTAAAGGAATTGTTTAGAAAAGAAGTAATTATTACCATCTGCTTCTCACCTAAGGAAGAGGTCATAGAGTTTTAATTACAGAAATAAAAGATGTCCATTGGAAAGCTTGTGCTGACTCCCGTAGATGGCAGAACAGGAAAATCAGAACTCCTTCGGGGAAAGGCTGTAGTTAATCATTACATTAAGGGGAGATTATTAAGTCATGCATCTGTGTGCCATCTTCTGGTTCAAACTGTGGGGTATAATTTCATTTTTATATGAATGAAAAATTGCTACTCTGTGAGTATTTACATTTGGAAATGGTTCTCTTTTAAAGTATCTCAAGCGCTCCTTCTAGTAATTACCCACAGAGAAGAGGAAATATAAGATAACAGAAACAACAGTGAGAAGAGTTTGTGTGCTCCAGTAATATTACCAGAAAAGCTCCCATTTTAGTGGGAGTTAATCAAACTTCTGGGTGGAAGATCCACCCTAGGGATCCGCAGAGGTAGACACCCACCCACTTTCTTTCTAGGGTGCTTCACTTTTGTAGGTTTTAGAGCTCAGTGCTCGGTATGGATAAAATCACAATACATGGAATGTCATTTGAAAATTGCTTTTGCTAGCAGAATTTTCCTTTAGTGAAAGCCTCTCAATGTCTTTGTTACAGGGCATCCAAGGATTATATCGCGGTTATAAAAGCACTGTTTTAAGAGAGGTAAACCACTTATTTTTTTCTGTTTCAAATTACAATGAGAAGCAACAGTCATTTTAAGGACAAAAATCTGATGACATTTTGTTCAGTAAAGCTACAAGTCACAACAGAAATAATTATTTTTGGTAATTGATCACTAATCTTTCTGTCAACCTTGAGTCTTGTTCCCAGGACAATTTGGTTTTTCTCCTATGATGATGATGATGATGATGATGATGATGATAATAATGATGATGACTTTTACTTGGAGGTCTCTTTCTGCTTTGTGGAACACTTTTCTATCTGTTTTCTCATTTGGTTTTCAGAACCACGCTGTAAGTTGGGCAAGATAGATGGGATGATTATTCTCCATTGGATAGACAAGCTTGAGGCTCAGGAAGGTGGTGATTTTCCTGTAGCCAGACAGCTAATTAATTGGTGATAGACAAATCGGGACCTCGATCTTGGGTCTTTTGGTTCCTAACCCTTTGTGACAGGTCTCACTGTGTCCTTTCATCCTTCAAGCACGGTCTGGTGGGAAAGCAGTGGAATCAAATATTAAGAGAAAGATGGTCTTCATGTAACCGCCTCATTCAGAATGGGTGACTTTTTTTTAACATTTCCATTTATTATTTATTTTTGCATTCTTTTCTTTTTTAAATGAGTTTCAAATTCTCTCTCCCTCTCACCCACCCCTTCCACCACCCATTGAGAAGGCAAGTGATAGATCAGTTATACATGTTAAATCATGCAAAACATATTTCCATATTAGCCCTATCTTTTTTAAAAGCAAGAAAAGCAAAGTTAGAAAATTATACTTCAGTTGGCACTCAGAGTTCTTAATTCTGTCTTGGAGGCAGATGGCATTTTTTCATCATGAATCCTTAGAAATTGTCTTGGATCGTTATATTGATCAGAGTAGCCAGGTATTTCACAATTGATCATCATTACAACTTTACTGTTACTGTGCACAATGATGTCCTGGTTTTCTCTCTTTACTTTGTGCCAGTTCATATAGGTGTTGCTATGCTTTTTTCTGAAACCACCCCCTTATCATTTCTTATAGCATAATAGTATTCCATCACAGTTGTATTCCAGAGCTTGTTCAGCCATTCCCCAGTTGAGCATCCCCTCAATATCCAGTTCTTGGCCACCACAAAAAGATCTACTTGCTATAAATGTTTTTGTACGTATAGGTCCTTTTCCCTTTTCTTTGATCTCTTTCGTATACAGACCTAGTAGTGGTATGGTTGTGTCAAAGGGTACGCGCAGTTTTGTAGTCCTTTGGGCCTAATTCCAGATTGTTCCCCAGAATGGTTTGGCCAGTTCACTACTCTGCCAGCAGTTCATTAACATAGCTATTTTCCCTTATTCCCTCCAGCATTTGTCATTTCTGATACATGTGAGGTAGCAGTTCAGAGATGTTTTAATTTGCATCGATAATGATTTAGAACATTTTTTCATGTGACTACAGGTAGCTTTGATTTCCAGAATGGGTGATCTTCTAACAGTCCCTTAGCTTGTATAATGCCATAACAATTAAAAAGAGTTTTCAGTTATTCTTTCTCATTTGGTGCTCACAACAACCCCATTAGGAAGGTATTAGAAGGAAACAGTCTTAGAGAAAATTAACCTGTCCAAGTTGGGACTTTAACGGAGGGCTTTTGACTTGACACCCCTTGCCCCCTTTCCAGGGCTTCTTCCAAAAGAAGTTTAGGTTAGAGATGAGAGATCATCTGATATTTAATTAGAGGCAAGATGTCAAGTAATAAAAATAGCAAAGTATAGTGGAGATAGCACTGGGCTTCGAATCAGAAGAGAACTAAATTTGGATCTCAGCTTTGTGACTTACTAGTTACCTAATTCTGGGACAAATCATTTGATTTCTCTGGGCCAGACAGGGTAATCTGAAGGGCCTTTCCAGCTTTAAATTTAATGAACCACAATTACCATCAAAGACAACATTTATTCGTAATTAACAATTTAAAGGAATTCACAAAGAGCAAGCAATATGTTTCTGTATAGCAGTATGTAAAAACTTTTCCCTTTTAATGAAAGAAATGTAAAGCTTCACAACTTGTAAGCAGATACTTAAGGAAACAATTTTTGTGTCACAAATGAGCCCATTTTAAACATTAAAAATTCAGTTTCAAGTCACAGTAATAGGCAGGTGCCTTCTAGGTGCCAAGAACTGTGCTTGATGCTAAGCAATCCCTACCTTCGAGGGGCATATGTTCTGCTGATAGAAGCAACATATTCACAGATAAGTAAATAAAACATGTAGTAGAAGAAGTAGAAAATAATTTGGGGGGTAGGAAGAAATGAACACTTATATCTGGGCAGATCAGGAAAGGCTTCCTGGAGGAGCCAGTGCCTGGCCCATGCTTTGTAAGGAGGACCAAGGATTCTGGAAGAATGGGAGAAGAGGGAGAGTCGTCCGAGCTGAAGAAGCAGCTTTTGCAAAAGCTCAGAGGCTTTTGGAAGATGGCAGATCTTGTGTAAGGATTGGCAAGAAGGCCTGGATGGCTGAATAGATTGCATGGGGGTATGTTGGTGTGAGATAAGGGAAGCCACTGAAACTTGGGGAGCAGGTATGTGACATGGTCAGACCTGTGCTCTTGGAATGTCATTTTGGCGGCAGTGTAGAGGGGAAAGCCTAGAAGCAGGGAGGGAAGCAATAAGGTGGTCCAGAGTGGGGCTGCATACTAACCAGGTGAGAAGAAGAGGGATGGATGGAGCCAAGACCGATAAGACCTCTAGCTTCATGAATCTCTGGGAGGGTAAAAGAGAGCTAATGGGTAGACAGTACTTCAAAGTGCAGAGCTGTTGATGCCCTCTGGGTCACTTACTTTGGAAATGCTTGTGTTTTTAAGTATCTTATGTACTCTTTGCAAGTGGAATTGGGACCCTCTGCAGAAACAGGAAAATCAGGAAAAGGGTGAGTTTTAGGGAGAAAAAGTGAGACCTTCTTTTTGGGTATGTTGAATTTGAGATGCCTCTGGCATCTCCAGGTAGAAGTGTCCAGTTGCTGCGTGGTAATATGAGATTGCCACTAAGGAGACAGATGAGGGTTGGATACCTAGGTCAGGGAGTCATCTGCATAGAGATGATAGTTGAACCTATAGCAGCTGATGAAAGAAAAGATTAAAAGGCACAGGACAGAGCGCTGAGGGATAGCCAAGCGTAGGGGTCAGCGAATGGTTGATCCCAGTGAAGGAGACTGAGAAGAAATGGTGAGACAAGTAGTAAGAAAACCTGGAGAAGCAGTGCTAGGAAGTGCCCAGGGGGAGGAGGTGGGCCAGAAGGGAAACTGAGAACAGGCTTTTGGATTTCATAGTCAGATGAGGAAGAAGCCCAAAAGTGAATGGGGCGTGAGGCAGTGGAGGCAGAGGATAATTTGGCTGAGAAAGGGATGTTGGAGGGTCTAGTGACAGATGGAGGAGACCTCACTATGCTTGTAGGTAGCAAGGAAGGAATATGAAATTATTTGAATATGAAGTTTATACTTGTTAAATCCAGCTACTTAATGTTTTAATTCCAATAGTTTTGAGATTATCTGTTCAATTTCTTTCTTGTTTAGCTTTCATGAAGGCACATAATGCTATTTATTGTACATTACTTCTTGAAGACATCAGGTTGGAATATAATTTGCCAGTGGCTACTATTTTAAGGACCCCACAAATAAGAATGTAAGCCTTTATTTTATAAAGCTCTGCTTTGTAACCCAGGTTATTTTATATTTAGGATTCCTTTGAGACAGAAACATTTTCATTTGTCAGTTCTATTTTTCAGTGATCTAAATGAAAGCTACTTTTATGCATTTATAGAAGAAAATTAAGTTGTATAAAAGCAGAACGCTTAGACTCAGGGAGGGCTTTTGTTTTGTTTGATCACAAAGCATTGTCTTCACACTCTATAAAAATATTTTGCATGTCGTTTAAGTAGAGTTTTTGAGAGAATTGCATTAGAAACAATAATTAATCAGTGCTGGCAAAGGCCTTTGCAGAACTGTTTTTAAGGAAATCAAATGCCTCAAAATTAGGTATTTGGGGGGAAAATGACACCTGCCTTTCAGAAATGTAACTTTCCCAGTACCTTCATTCTGTACTCATTTTCTGGCTCACTAAACATGTGTTATTTACTCAGATTCCATCTTGATGCAGGGAAAGAGGGCAACAAGTGTTTTTTATTTCTTTGAGAGGTTCTGAATAAATGAATATATTTACATGCCACCAAATACTGATTTTGCATACAAACAAATAGATGAAACACATGGTTACAACTGGATGCTATTCTCTTTAAAATTTGTTGTGACATATGTCAAGCCAGTAATTAATTTCTAGGCTGCTATCTTACAGACTCTCTGACCCTGCTGAGATAACTTTGTTTACTCAGAATGGCAGGGCTTTGTTGGGAATTTAATTGGGGTCTTCTGCATTATATGTATTCATAAAAGAACCTTCAGAACTGATTTCTGTTGAAATATTGCCTTCCTAGAGGCTCTTTCTGATAGAATCAGAAGCAAATTATTGCTGAATGAAATGTAGTTTCTTTTTCCAAATGAGGACAATCAGAAGTGATATGTCTGTTTTAAACAAACATCTTTGCGTTGCAACTAGTTTCACTTTTGACATTTTTCTGACACCAACACCCCTTCCTTTTGGGAAAGTTCCGAAACGACTAGGAAATTTGCACGTTTGTTCTAGATGCATTCTCCCCTTTAAAATGTTGACTTTGCCCCCCAGGAAGCCGTAGCATGAGCTTGAGACTTGTATTAGTGGATATGTTCTCCAGATGCTCAAGAAACTGGGACGTCATTATTTCCCAGAATATGTGTTGAACTGTGTATTTTATTTAGCCTTTATGATGGTGGAAATCATTTGCTTGATTAACAGGACAAGGAGACCTTGAGGAGAGTCTAAGTATAGCTGGCATATCATGCTGCTTTTGCTAATTTTTAAAACCTCATCATTCTTATTTACATTGCTGCAGATCTATAGCATAATTGGCATAATGAGATGGGG